ATACCCCGTCATACAGCTGTTTCTCAGAATGTATGAAAAATGTATTAAAATAAAAAATTGGGGAATTAAAAAAATTAATTTTTATGACTATAAATCTCTAAATGGTAAAAACAATAAAAATATATCAATTTTAATGTTATTAAAAACAAATTTTTATTGAAAATGTATCTTTTAAGGAGGCGGATGGTGCTGTATTTTTATATATTCAAGGGTAAATATTACTAATTGCTAGAATGAGACATCAACCTTATTACTATTTTAAAAGTAAATGCTTAGAATCATTCATGCATATACTAGTAAATAAAAAGGAATATAATTTTGTTATAGTGATGCCATTTCATTCGTAGATGCCTTTATGTTATGTGCCAAAAAAAACACAGGCTCATCTATCATTATTTTGAATGATCATCAATTGACAATTTGACTACACTTTCTTCAATTTTGCTGAAAGCAAAGGATTACAAACCACCCTCACTGGAGACCTTGTTGTTCAGGCCATTTTCCTTTTTAACTCCTTGGAATGTTTACCAAAAGGCTTTACTAAGACTCACCTATAACTCTTACACTTAGAATCATCTTGCTTATGGAAAAGTAAGATAAAACTGAGTAAAAATACCCCCATAAAATTGGAAATTGCATAGATATCTTGAAGATGATTATATAGATTTAGAAATGTTATATTTGAAAAGTATTTGTTACAAAATTAAAAGAATATAAAAATATGACAAGAAATAATCTTAATTAAATAAAGCTAGTTTTCTACAGTTAAATGTGCTATGTTCTTAGATTATATTTATGGACATTTACACCTATACCTATTCTGCTTTTGAAAGTATTGTTTAAGCTATTTATCAGGCTAAGATTCACATTTTAACATCTCTGAAATTGGGGTGCATCTTATAATTAACTAGAGGCCCAATGCATGAAAATTCATGCACTGGAGGGGGGCTCTTCAGCCCGGCCTGCCCCTCAAACAGTCTGGGAGCCCTCAGGGGTGGGAGGTGACCCAGTGATCAGGGGAAGACAATGCAAGCCTCGGCCAGCCTGGTTACCTGAGCCTTAGATGGCCCTGGACAGGTGGGTAGCCACCATCCGAGGCTTGCCTGTGCCTCGGGGTGACCCTGGGTGGCTGGGGGACCACCGCAGTGGGGCTGGGGGGACTGGATGCTGCCATCTTGTGGCTGTGGGCGCCACCATCTTTGATAGGGCAATTAGCATATTCCCTCCTCATTGGCTATGGGCACCGCCATCTGTTACAGTGTGAAGGTGAATTAGCATACTCTCTCTTTATTAAATAGGATGGCATATCATAGTTTATTCTTTTTTGGCATATCACAGTTTAGTTGGCAATGTTTTTCTTTTTAAAAAATTTATTTTTTATTGTCTAGTTTTACATGTCTCCTCCTCAAACCTTTTTTTTTTTTTTTTTTTTTTTTTACTAGGTGGCATATAATGGTGAATCATATAATAATGTCTTACATGAGAAAAAACTGTATTTGCCTGTGAAATTAAGAGCAAAGAGATAGTCATTAGTAAGTTCAGGGCTTATGCAAGGTATCCTGATGGTTTTATGACCACTACTGATGACTATTGTTTTACTTACAGTGAAATCCACACTAGTTCATTTTTAAATGTAAATATACAATAAGAATGAAAAAAGCAGATAAATAGTTCAGAGATAATAAGCAGGAGCCTTGGGCCAGGTAAAATTTTAATATGAATTTGTAGAATCTAATGATGAACCTGGCAAAGGTTAATAAAAATATTTCACCCAAGAATCTGAAAAAATGTTCTAGAAAATATAAAACCATGAACTTACCTCTGAAATATCTTTCAACTTGAAGATGCAATATTAACATGTCATAAATTAACATGAAACTTTTAACTTCCTCTTGGAAATCATACAAATTATGCTACTCAGATAGGTTTTAGACATGTTCATCTGGCTCTTCACCATTACTGATAATGATAAAGACAGTTTGCTTGACATCAGAGTCACCAAAACCCATAAAGCTTGAAAATTCTAATTCTAAGGAGGATGAGGTCAGCAACTTCCCAATTAGCTGCCTAAAAATAAGGTGACTTTCCCTCATGCACTCTTAGCTTTACTTTCACACTACTCACTTTAGGAAAAATGGTTTCTTGAATAGTCAGTCAGGTGACAGAAAAAGCAAACCTGTTAAACCTGTCATCAGTCTGCCTCCCTACTTACAATACATCTAAATTCTGAACATCTCCACAATTGGCCAATATAACCCATTTTTAAGACCACATCTCACCCACAATGAAAATACATTAATTTCCACCATACTTTCTTGGTGGAAAGGAAGGAAAGATCCATACAAGTTCAAAGGGAAGGGACATAAGTCCACATCTTGATGGGGGTAGTGGCAGGGTTCTGGAAGAGTATGTGAGACCTGAAATATTATTGGGATAATTTTTGAAAAACATATTGCCATAGGTGTATTTTTGTTTTTTAAGTGGGATAGGGTGATTACATGATGGCAGAAGAAAAATTGAGAACTGGCATAATCCACTGATCATGGAGATGGTCTTTAAAGACTGATCAATTTTAACAAGGAGTACATATAGGAATTGAGGATCTGGCTCTGGGTCCCTTAAAGCTTTCTATGCCTGCATATCCCTTGTAAAAATTGAATATTGTTTTCTGAAGATACAACTATAGATTACTTTTACATTCTTTAATTATATATTTAAGTTACATACTTAACTATAATTTTTTCTAATCAAATTATTTAGCAGGTAAAATGTGTATTCTGAAACTCAAAAAAACCAATTTTTCATTTAAAAGAGTAATCCATTTTTTTTTTCATTCAGCTAAACGAAAGTAGGCTAATAATAGAAACAAACCAAAATATCAATGTCAAAAGAACTTTGATAACTGACATGACCAACTACAGTAATATATCCATGCACCTTTTATGATAACAAAAAATGTTTCTCTTTAAAAAATTAGAAAAGGTCAGATCTCTGGAAGTAGATGTTGGTAAGTTGACAGGAAAAAATTTTACATTTAGTTGTTTAACATTACACTTAAGAGTAAAATCAAATGCACATAAACTGTTATAAGTTAAAATTCAAGTCTTCCAGATATATACTTTAGCACAAAATGCTCCCTGATTTGCTTTTTCATTTTTGCCAATAACCCAGTGATCTCTAAAAATTGCTTTAATAGTTATTTCCAAAAACTAATTCCTAAAGATATTTCTTTCCTATGAAGTTCAATAAAAGATTTAAAAGGTAATACACTTGTTCTAATTTTCATTACACATCATGATCTCGAATCATTTTGAAAGAGAAGATGTTAGGGAATAAAGCTATTTCCTTTAATGTACTGGGGGAAAAGTACTATTTTTAAATATACAGAATATAAAGGCAGAACAAAATAGTAGATATAATCAGAATGTTTGATTTATTCACCAAATATTTATTAAGCACCTACTTTTTTCCAGGCATCTTTCTAAGAGCTAAGGATATAGGGGTGAATGAAAAATAGCTACAAATTGTTTGAGTGCTTACTATGTGCCAGGCTCTGGCCTAAGAGTTTCACGCATGTAAACCCATTTAATCCTCAAATATGAAACCCCTATGACATGGGCACTATTAATTTCTTCATTTTACATGAGAAAACTGAGGCATAGAGAAGTTAAATAACTTATCCAACTAGTAACTGGCAGTAGTAGGCCTGGTTATCATGGGTATTTATTAACCTAAAATCCTTCCTTTCTCATTTTCTTCTTTGCCGATGTGAAGACCTAACAAAATTGAGTATGACTCAAATAGGTGGTGTGATCATTTCTTTTTTGGACATTTATTTCTGCAAATGAGTAAACAAGATTTTAACAAGCTCTATTTTCATGTATTGTGACCTCAAAATATTAAAAAAGCCTGAATGTTATAAGACTTGATTTTTAAAAAAATAGAAAAAATTATACCTTCATATTTTTCTCTTCATTACTGTAGGTAAATATTCATAACATTTCTCTCTGTGGAACACCACTTCTCTACTTCAGGTAGGCATAGTGGGGCTAAAAGTCATAGCTCAATCTCATTGTAAGGGAGGGTTCATTGCTCAAACTAATTAGGCCTCATACCTTGGAGAGTTACTGGGTAAGGACTACACAAACATAATCTAAGTAAGCATGGCCAATCTGCCTTCCCTGGGATTCACAAAAGTGGGAAATGTTCTCTTCACAATGGAAGTGAATTGAGACTGCAGGTAGCCATCTTTCTTAGCCTCAAGAGAAAATATCTCCACAATACTGAGTAATGGGAGACATTCAGACACAAAATACTTTGACCTATCTATGCAAGAAATAAGAATGTTCTTGCCTTTTTCCAATTAAATAAGGGTATAAAACTCTTTTTTACTTATGCTCGAGTTTCTGTGACTTCCAGTCAAGTTCCAATGCATTTTAACAAAAGCATTACAAAAAATATGCACATAAAACAACGGTTATGGCAGGAACAGAACTCTCCTTCATTCTATTCCTTGACCCCTCTTTCCCTATGTGAACAAATACAGAACTGTCTATAGCTCAAAGGATGGTTTATTTTCAAAAGTAGTAGGCAAAAGATTTGCTTACGAATTCTGATTACAAAGCATTATTTTAATACTTCTATTCTTTTAGCATATGACAAAACCACAATATAGCTAGAAAGACAAAATGTTTTATTTTAAACACTGGAAAAACATTAAAAGACAAATGTCCATTATATAACCAAGAATGTTAAGTAGTTGGAAACTGCAAATCTTCTAAAATGTGGTAGGCACTTTCAGAGAGCTAAATATTGCAAATTATCCTATCATGTTTCTTTTCTAATGCCCGCAATATCTGACATGATGAAAAATTCCAAGAAGACTCAACTAACTAATTATTCAGTCAAAGTCACCATGTCAGGGTTCAATTTAAGTACACAAGTGAGTTTTGTCCAAGATGTTCCTGACACATGAAGCTTCCGGTTGAATTTCAGAAATGTTAACAAAAGTATCTTCCTTTTTTGCCTGTGAATGTTTGAGTATTGCTGTATTGTTGGCTTATATCCACTACAGATACTGGTTCTAGGCCAGCCCAAGGGTCTTCAAGCATTGAAGGTTTGAAATAACTTTCCAACTCATTAGACATTCTTTTTTCTCTACCACGCCCTGATCCAAAAGGTGTAGATGTCCTTGGAGAACCCTTTAGAAAAAAAATCATCGGTTAAAAAAACATTTCCTAGAGATAACTGGTACTTTTTAAAAGGTCTTAAGGGTCACATTGCTACTTACAAGTCGTTGTGCCTTGAAGCCAAATACAGTATGTTCATTTGCAAACTCCATCTTTATTTCATCTAGTGTTTTTGCTTTTTAAATGTATTTAAACCAATTTGGTATGCTCTTTTATTAACTAGAGGTGCAGTGCACAAAATTCATGAACGGGTGGGGGTCCCCTCAGCCCAGCCTGCACCCTCTCCAATCTGGGACCTCTTGGGGATGTCCAATTGCCGGTTTAGGCCCAATACCCTGGACCCTGGACCAGCCTAAACCGGCAGTCAAACATCCCTCTCACAATCCTGGAACACTGTCTCCTAATTTCTCACCTGCCTGCCTGGCTGCCCTAACTGCCCCCCCCCCTCCTTCCCCTGCTGGCCTAACCCCTCATTGCCTCTGAATGCCAGCCTGATTGCCCCAATTGCCCCTCCCCTGCCAGCCTGGTCATCCCTTACTGCCCCTCCCCCCCTGCTAGACTACCCCCACCTCCACCTGGTAACCCCCACCTGTACTCCCCCCACTGGCCTGGTCACCCCTAACTGTGCCCCCATCTCCTCTTACTGTCCCCCCTGCTGGCCAGGTCTTCCCTAACTTCTGCCCGCTCTGGCCCCACACAGCCTGCTGTTCAGCCTTTTAGCCGTCCCTCACTAAGCCCCTACAGGCCTGGTCCTAGGCAGCCATCTTGTGAGGGAGTGAGCGTCAAGTTGCATATTATCTCTTTATTATATAGCATTCCATGCTCTCTGTCACCTCAAAATACTTTGGGTTTTCTAAATTTGCAGATTTTACCAATTGGTGATGAAATAACTATTTCAATCTCCTCCCCCCCAAAAAAAATCCCCCTATTTTCTGGGGGGTGGGAGTGGGGATGGGGAATTAAAACTTTAAAACCCTACAGCTTAAAAATTCCTAGAATCTTCCCAGCTCATTAGCTCTAGATTTAAAAGGATGGGATTGACTTCGCCTAAGGAAAGATGGACATGCATCGAATACATGCAAGTCGTAAGCCACACATCCCGAAGTACTGTCTCCTGAGCTCCCTCTCGCTGGGAGGAACAGGGAACTCCCGCCATCACCCACGCTCCCCGGAGAAAGCCCGGGGCAGGGGCCAGCGTGGCTGGAACACAAAGCCGGGAAGGAAAGGGGGAGAACCTCCAGCCTCCGCGGTCGGTCTCCGGCCGGGAATTACCGCTCTGTGTGTGGAGCCCGGGGCTCAGGCTACATCCACCGGAACGATCCGGCCAGACCTCCGACCAGGGAGGGCGAGCCGGGGAACTGTCAGGCGGGAGGGCTCCGGAAAGGAAGGCTTTGCCACTCTCTCTCGGGCAACCTCAACACCGTTACCTAACTTCTCTGAGCCTCAGTTCCTTCGTCTGCAAAGAACAGTCTCCCCCCACAGAGGATCAAACAAAAGAACCCGCGTCAAGGGATGGGTCCCGGGCACCACGCCTGGCGGACAGTCCGAGCTCCGCGCACGCCGGCTGCTGGTTGTTACCTGGGGGTGGGCCTGCTGGCCCGGGGAGTAGCCGAATTGCTGCTGGGACCCCGCGGGGGACCTGGCGTAGGCGCCGGGGTAGCCGCCGGGGGACGGAGACCCGAACCGGCCCCCGGGGAAGCCGCCGCCGCGCCGCGGGGAGGGGCTGCTCCCGTAGGGCCTGCCCCGGGGCCCGTAGGACGGCGCGCGGTGCGGGCTCCCGTACCCGTCCCGAGGGGAGGGCGGCCGCGGCCCGCCGCCCGGGGTGCCCCGGTAGCTGCTCCCGCCGCTCCGGCCTCCCACCCCCGCGCCGGGGTACGGAGGCGTCGGGGGTCGGAAGTTCTGGCGATGCATGTCTGCAGGGGGAGAAAGACCTCTCCGCCGCGGCCCCGGAACTCCGGACTGAGCCGCCGGGGAGCGGGCGGTCCTTTATCAAAGTCTTCCCCCGGCGCCGGAGTGCCGCGTCACATTGGTTCCGCTTCCCGAAGGTTCCGCCAGGGGCGGGGTGGGGGGCGGGGAAACAAGCGGATCTTTTTTAAAAAAAAATGATTTCAGAGAGAAAGGGAGAGGGAGAGAGAGAGAGAAACATTAATGATGAGAGCATCATCGATCTGCTGCCTCCTGCACGCCCCCCACTGGGGATCGAGCCCGTAACCCTCCTGGTTCAGGGGTCGATGCTCAACCACCGAGCCACGCTGGGCGGGTTATTGAATCGGATCAAGAATGAGCGGATTAATGAAGGGAGGAGGGAGAGGAGGATAAAAGAAAGGCTCGGGCCAAAACCGGTTTGGCTCAGTGGATAGCGCATAGGCGCCTGCGGACTGGAGGGTCCCAGGTTCGATTCCCGTCAAGGGCATGTACCTTGGTTGCGGGCACATCCCCGATTGGGAGGGGTGTGCAGGAGGCGGCTGATCGATGACTCTCTCATCGATGTTTCTAGCTCTCTATCCCTCTCTCTCCCTCTCTGTGAAAAATCAGTTAAAAATATTAAAAAAAAAAAAAAAGAAAAGAAAAGAAAGGAAAGAAAGAAAGGAAGGAAGAAAGAAAGGAAGGAAGAAAGGAAGAATAAATTAAGGAAGGAAGGAAGGAAGGAAGGAAGGAAGGAAGGAAGGAAGGAAGGAAGGAAGGAAGGAAGGAAGGAAGGAAGGAAGGAAGAAAGGAAAAAAGAAAGAAAGAAAGAAAGAAAGAAAGAAAGAAAGAAAGAAAGAAAGAAAGAAAGAAAGAAAGAAATAGGAAAAAAAGAAAGAAAGAGAAAAAAAGAGAAAAAGAAAGAAAGAGAGAAAGAAAGAAAGAGAAAAAGAAAAGAACGGCTGGGAGCCCTTTGATGGCGCGGAGCCTGGTTGACACCTGCCGGCCAGCGGCGGCCGGAGAGCTCCGCCCAGCCAGCCCGGAGGCGGCCCCTGCGGCGGCCGCGGGCGGCGCGGGCCGGGCCCCTCCCGCCCGGACGGCGCTGGAGGCCGGGAGGCCGGGATGCTGGCGGCGCTGGCGGCGCGGGCGCGGGCGGCCGCCCTGCGCGGGAGGAGGCCCGGCCGTGCGCGCGGCCCGGGCGGCGGCCGGCGGCTGGGGACCGGCCCGCCGCCCGCAGGTACCTCCGGGGCTCGGTCCGGGCGGCGCGGCGAGCCCTGCGAGCCCCGGCCGCCACCGGGAGCTCCCGCTGCGGTCCGCCCGCGCGGCCGAGGGGCGGGCGTCTCCCTCCGGTGACCCGAGGCCGGCGTTTCCCAAAGTGGGGTCCGCGGACCCCCAGGGTGCGGGAGGGTCTGGAGGGGGTACGGTGGCACCGGGGTCGGGGGGGGGGGTAGGCACTGCGCCGTGCTTAGCTGCGCCTAATGCTCCGTTCTCATGAGGACGAGGGGCACGCAGAGTTAGGAAAACGATAGGAGGGGTACACATATGTCAGAAGTTTGAGAAACACGGCGGGCGGGACAGTCCTGATGTGGAACCAACCATATTCCTGGTTCCACATCAGGACTGTTCCGCCAAAAGCAGGACGATCTAGTCACCTTACCCTACCCCCTTCTTTCCTTTAAATAACTTAAAAGTATGGGAGTAGGGGTTAGGGGGTGGGAGGTGGGGATGGGTAAGGTATGTACACATATAATACCTTAATAAAACAATGAGGGGGGAAATAATTTTAAAATAACTTAAAAAATGTGCACCCCTATTTCAGAAGGGGGTGCAAAGTGCATCTTTGGCTCGGAGAGTCTCTGCAAACAAATGCTGGACTTTACTCCCTCTTTGGGATGAGCAGGCTGGGGGAGGTGGCTAGGAAGCGAGCGGGAAAGGCTGATTTTTCAAAGAACAAAATTTGGCCAAACGCTCTTCAAAAATCTTAGTTTTGTTTCACAGACTTTTAGTTATAAAGAAAAAATGTGATACATTCAAGAACGACACCTAATGTATAATAAAATCCGCCGTTGTGTATCAGACAGCTGTCCCTGAATTGGCTTAGAATTCTACATTTAAATTTACTGCAGTTTTGTACAACTTTCTTAACGCCTTCAGAAGGAGGGGTTTCTAGGCACAGAACCTGGGAATCAGCTTGTAGGAAACAATCGTAAGTGTTGGCGATGGGACTGTCACCAGGTGTTGCACTCCTGGGGTGGACTGGACCTGGGTTCAGCAACCTGGGCCCTTGAGTTCTGGCTAAGAAAGAACTCAGAGAGGAGACTCAAGATGCAAACTATAAAAGAACATTAATTTATAAAATCACAGAGATGGAAGAATTCCTAGAAGAAATATGCTTCAGTTATAGAGGCAAAGAAAGAGCCCTTGGAGCTTAGAAGGAAGGAAGGTGCTGAAACCGGTTTGGCTCAGTGGATAGAGCATCAGCCTGCTACTGAAGGGTCCCAGGCTCTATTCCGGTCAAGGGCATGTACCTTGGTTGCAGGCATATCCCCAGTAGGGGGTGCGCAAGAGGAGGCTGATCCGTCTTTCTCTCTCATTGATGTTTCTGGCTCTTTATCCCTCTCTCTTCCTCTCTGTAAAAAGTCTATAGAATGTATTAAAAAAAAAAAAAAAAAGAAGTAAGGAAGGTTCATTTACACAATGGTATACTTCTCTGCTGTAAAAAGGAAGAAAATGTCTCCTTTTGGGACAGTGTGGATGGACCTGGAGAACATTACGCTAAGTGAAATAAGCCAGTGAGAGAAAGACAAGTACCATATGAATTCACTGATGTGAACTAACAAGCAAAATACTAGTGGAGACAATCTCATAGATAAAGAGCAGGCAGACAGCTCTGGAGCGGGGGTGGGAGAAAGGGGGCGGGGATGGTGGTGGGAAGAGAAGGGGGATTGAACAAAAAAGAAAAGAGAGAAAGTACTAACCGACACGGGCATCAATGTGGTGATTGTGGAGGGTAGAGGCATGGGGGGATAAATGATAGAAAAAATAAAATAAATTGTTTTCCTTGGGTTAATTGCATTCAATTAAGGAACTATTTATAGAGTACTTAGTGATTCTCACTGCAAAAGTACAAAATGGATAGGAGATAAGTACTGTATAAATAACAACCCAAAGCTGAATAAAGCAAATGTCTTAAGAACAACAGCAATATCTGTGGGTTAAGGTCACAGAAATAATACCCAGTTAGGAAATAAGAAAGAAATTCATTGAGAACTGGCAATTTAATGGAGACTTGCCACATGGGTAGGATTTTAGCAAATGTTTGTCTTAAATATAGAACAAATAAGCAGAAGTCTTTATTGTTATTTTTTTTAGTACTTACTTTTTTTTTTGTTTAGTTTACTTTTTATTTTATTTTTTTAAAATATATTTTTATTGACTTCAGAGAGGAAAGGAGAGGGAGAGAGAGATAGAAACATCAATGATGAGAGAGAACCGTTGATCAGCTGCTTCCCCCAGGGGACTGAGCCTGCAACCTGGGCATGTGCCCTTGATCGGAATCCAACCCAGGACCCTTCAGGCTGCAGGCCGATGCTCTATCCACTGAGTCAAACCAGCAGGGCTGTTTAGTTTACTTTTTTTTTTTTTTAATATATATATTTTATTGATTTTTTTTTACAGAGAAAAAGGGAGAGGGATAGAAAGCTAGAAACATCGATGAGAGAGAAACATCATCAGCTGCCTCCTGCATACCTCCCACTGGGGATGTGTTCCCAACCAAAGCACATGCCCTTGACTGGAATCGAACCTGGGACCTTTCAGTCCACAGACCGACGCTCTATCCACTAAGCCAAACCAGTTTCAGCTAGTTTACTTTTTATTTGTTTTTTAAAGGCCGTATATTTTTAGAGCAGTTTCAGGTTCACAGTAAAATTGAGAGGAAGTTACAGAGATTTCCCATATATTTCCTACCCCCCCCCCCCATAACTTTTGTTATGATTGATGAACCTGCATTGATCCATCATAATCACCCAAAGTCCATACTTTACGTTAGGGTTCACTCTTGGTGATGTACATTCTCCAGGTTTGGAAAAATGTATAGTGACATATCTAACATTATAGCATCATATAGAGTATATTCAGTGCCCTAGAATTCCTCTGGGCTCAGCTTATACATCTCTCCCCTTCTTACTTTTTATTTTTCAGTAGTCAAACTATTGCAAGTGTAGCTGGTGACTTAATTAATTGGGAATAATCTGGGATTGGAGGTTTTAATTTTAATAAATTGACTTAATTGATCAGGTCAAGATTTCTGTGTTACATATAAAGCAGGAATAGTGTAAAAGAAACACATTTTTATTTTATTTTGGTAGAGATTGCTTAATCCACAGTATAAAGAATTCTTGATTCGTTCTCCTGAAAATTAGTAATCAATACTCTTAAAGTGTTTTCTGTGTTTTGGCAGCTACTGACAATGTGAAGCCATTGGAGGGTATAAAAGTTCTGGATCTAACAAGGTTGGTATTGGCCTGCCTGTTTTTTGGTGATTAAGTTTTAACCTCTCAAAAACCATTCATTCATTTTTTATATTAAAGAGGGTGCTTATATGCTTAGTATCAAAATTTTGAAAAGAAAAAAGTTCCTGTAATTTTATCATTCTAAATGACAATTAGTGTAATACTTATGCATTTCTTTCCAATCTGCATACTTAAATATATTTTTTAAAAACAAAAATTTGAATCATATTGAAATGATAGTTTTACACATATTTTAAATATGCCATTTAAAAAATATTTTTCTTTATTGATTTCAGAGAGGAAGGGAAAGGGATAGAGAGATAGAAACATTAATGATGAGAGAGAATCATTAATCAGCTGCCTCCTGCACGCCCCCTACTGGGGATCAAGCCTACACCTGGGCATGTGCCCTTGGCCAGAATTGAACCTGGGACTCTTCAGTCTGCAGGCTGACACTCTATGCACTGAGCCAAACCGATTAGGGCAATATGTCATATTTTTAATGTTTTCCTATGTCATTCAAAATTCAATAAAAATATACAATATTTTATAGTTGTCATAAATTTAATCATCCCCCAATATTTCACTATTTTAAGTTAGGTTTCCTATTATATAAGTCTTTGTCTCAGTAATCTTTTAATTTCTTCCTTAAGATAGAATTCTGGAAGTCGAATTACTGCATCTTAGGGAATATACTTTTAAAACTCTTGATTCATATGGCCAAATTAAATTTTGAATAGTTTTGTCAATTTTAATTCTTACTATCATTATATAAGCTTGTCTGTGTTGATGGACTATTAAGAAAATTAATATAAAAATCTTCAAGATGGTAATTTATTTATCATTGTTTAACATTGTAGAGTATTGGCAGGACCTTTTGCTACGATGAATTTAGCAGATCTTGGAGCAGAAGTTATAAAAGTGGAAAGACCAGGTAAAATTATTGCTTCCTTTAAAACAGAAAAGCAAATGACTAAGTATTTTTAATAGTTTAAAAAATGTCCATGTACCTGCCTATGGGATGAAGAAAGAATGAAATAATTTTTCTTTTCTCCATTCCTTATTTTCTTCTGGACCTAGACTAATAATCTCTTTTTATTATTTTGAAAGATATTTTTATTGATTTCAGAGAGGAGGGGAGAGGGAGAGAGAGACAGAAACATCAATGATGAGAGAGAATCATTGGCCGGCTGCCTGCTGCACACCCCACACTGGGGACTAAGCCCGCAACCCCAGGCATGTGTTTTGGGAATTGGACTGTGACCTCCTAGCTCATAGGTCAGCACTCAACCACGGAACCACGCTGGCCAGGCTCCACAGATTAAGGATTAAGCCAGGTCTTTCACACACATGTGAAAGCCTGTGGTAGAAACTGAGATGCAACATGTAATGACGCCAACAACACTTATCAGAGTGCCAAGCACATTTATAAGCACTTTGCCTGTATTAACTTATTTAATCTTTACATTACCCTTATGGGCTGATGTTATTATTCCTAGATTATGAATGAGAAGACAGAGACACAGAGAGCTAAAGCAATTGGTCCAAGGTCACACAGCCACGCGGGAATATCCAGGCACTCAGGGCTGGTTCTGGCTTTGCTTAGGCCCGCATAAGCCTTCCTGTTGAGACTGAGATTGGACTGAGCCTGGCCACCCTCCCTTCTGTGGGATGAAAAAAAATCAAAGTCCTGGAAGAAAGAAACCCCCATACTCTAAGTCATCTTTTGCAGACTCATCATTTTCTTTGCATATTTAACGCTAAGAAACAAAGACTGAATTGTTTGCCAAAAACTGAGTGTAATTTTTTCCCCCCACTCAAATTCGCCATTTATTAAATGTAAAGACTGCTGGTAGGATATTTTCTTCTGGGTTTTGACTTTCAGGGATGGATTTTAGTGAAAGAATAAAGGAAAAATTTAGTGATTAACATCGACAGGTAAAGAGTTTGGACAGTTTCTAATTCCCCTTACCAGAACTGCTTTGTTCAGCCAGCCATCTGTGAGTGCTGACGAGTGAGACTTTGGTCTGAAATGTCTCATGATGTTCCACGGTTATAGATTAATAACTCCTACTGTTATTTTCAGGAGCTGGTGATGATACACGAACGTGGGGGCCGCCTTTTGTGGGGACAGAAAGTACTTATTTTCTCAGTGTAAATCGAAATAAAAAAGTAAGAATGTAATTTTTTCTGCTTTCTTTGTGCAATTCTCTTCTAAAAACAAAACCTTTGATATCCCAGTTTGTTTGTTTTTACCCTTTTCTGCAGATGTAATTAATATTTTAAAGAAGGTGAAATTTTATTCATTCGACAGTTACAAATAGAGACAATAGATATTTTTACTAATCCTCCCTACTAACTTAAAACGAGAATGTATACTGGTTTACAATGGAAAGAATTTTATTAAACTTATTAAATGGTTTTTTACATTTGTCATTATTTTGGAGACTGAAAACTGCCTAAAAGTGGGTATTATTATCTGAAGCATTTTTACTGTAATCCTTGCTACATTCTAACACATCTAAATTGCAAATAAAATAAGTAAAGATGATTTAGATATTTCTTCAAGAGGAAAATACATTTGCTTTAAGAGGAGAATCGATAGTATGATTTCCTCCCTTGTTGAACTATTAGTGTTAACGAAAGATTTTATGATACCATTTTAATATATATATATATTTTAATTTTTAGAGTATAGCTGTTAATATCAAGGATCCAAAAGGAGTGAAAATCATCAAAGAGGTACAGTATGCTCAGTGAAAGGCATCTTACCATCCGGGTTGTAACTAGGGATTTGAGCAACAGAGTAAAAGTGTTTTAAAACTTTTAACTTGACAATCTGTAATTTTTTTTACATGCCATTTGAGAATTTAACTTTACTTGTATAATAAGTATAATTTGATTTGTCATTTCTTTTATATTGTGTCTACTGTTTCTTCACACTGGGAAGGCATTCCATTGTAGTACTAGCTGCTATTGACTGAGTGCCTACTCTGTATTAGATCTTAGGCTTGGGCACTTGACTTACATTATCTCCTCAAATCCTCAGAATACATGAGGTATTCGAGTCTTCATTTTCACAGGCGTGAAATGCGTCTAATGGGGCTTACGTGATGCTCTGAACATCACATAGCTAGTAAAAGGAAGAGCTGAAATTTTGAACCCTGGGTCACGCTACTGGGGAGCCAAAACTTTTTGTCGTCGTTAGTCCTCACTAGAGGATATTTTTTCCATTGATTTTGAGAGAGAGTGGAAGGGCCCTTCATTCTCAGGCCCTTCATCTCTCCTCTGTAGTTTACTATTATTATTAATCTAAGGGATTGTTCTTTCCTTAATTCTTCTCTTTCTGCTCTATCTTTCTTAGTTTCATCTTTATTTCAGGATATCCTGATACTTTATCTAGTCAAGGATTCAGATTTGATTGAAAGATACAGCACCATTTAAGTAGGGCTTCTCAATGGGGAAGTGTTGGGTGGAATTCATAACTCTTACTGCTAAGACATTTGAACATTTTAGGCCAACAATGTATCCTTCTGACCAAAATAAATGAATTGCTGGGACTTCCTTTTCACTTTCCTTGGGTTTTACCAGTGTGCACCACACTAGAGCAATTTTAAATTACATTTCATTGTGGGCTTGATTTCTCTGATTGATAATAATAAACTACATTTCAGCTCATAATAAACTTTGGTTGTCTAGAGACATTATTTATACTTATGGGTTTTAGCTAGTTATATCACTTATAAGTTATGCATCTTATGGCCTAGAGCAGTGTTTCTCAAAGTGTGGTACGCGTACCCCCAGGGGTACGGGAAGAGTTTGGTGGGGGTACGCGTTGCACTGGAGTTTGGTGGGGATATGCACTGCACCTTGCTTAGCTGCACCTAATCCATCCATTCTTTTTTTTTTTTTTTTTTGACGAACGGTACTCAGCGTTACGAAATTTTTATAGAAGGGGTACACATATGTCAAAAGTTTGGGAAACACTGGCCTAGAGGAAAAATTATTTTTGCCCAGCTTTTTAAATATTCTTTAGGGCACGGATTTTTTTTTGATCTTAAGAATAGTAAAATAACACCTGTACTCAGACCTTGGTGGCTATTATTACAATTATAATGAGTCTAATTTATAGACACGGTTCCAAAGTATTATACTAAGCCATCAGTTGGATATGTGAGAGCCCCCCCAAATATGACTCCTTTGTCAAGTAGGTTAACTAAAAACGGGTTATATGGAAAACAAAAGTCTGCTTAAAAAACCTATGTGGAGCCTGGTATTTTCATGGCAATATGATATGATAGCTTTCTAACATGTTATCTATATTTCAGATACTTTTCCATGTTAATTAGTTGACAGTCACACTATCCATACTAGTTCCACAGAACAATGTCATAGGTTTTATTTTCCTCCAACATTGTACTGTGAAAAATTAAAACATAACAAAAACATTTAAAGATGTAACAATTTTAATGTTTTGCCGTATTTGCTTATTTACATATATATTCATATAACTATGCATATGTTTATGTGTGTATTTTTGAACCATTTGAAAGTAAGTGAAAGAAACTTTGTCCTGAAATCCTTCAGAATACATCTCCTACAGATAAGGATATTCTTTGACATAGGATTTAAAAATTATTTCATGATTTTTAAAACTTATAAATATAGTTACATTATATCATCACTTTCCCCTCTACTTCTGATGTTGCTCATCCATTCTGTTCCCAAGTTGCACCACATAAAGAGAACTCAGAATTTGGTACGCTATATTTCAACGTGATTTTAGTTCTTGTTTTACTCTGACTAGTAGGAAGAATTAATTTTTCCCTTTCAGAAAGAAAGAGATGGTGGGTTCTCTAATTCATAAAAATTGTGCTTGTTTTTTATTCTGGGTGACATTCTAGAAGAGGTTATTGGGTAATTTGTGAGCAACTTGATGAGGCAGAGGTGATCACCAGTAAAACTGGGAACCAGTCATTTTTTTTTCCTTTTTTCTTTTTTTCTTACTTTACTTTCTAGTAGATTATTAAGTCCGAGAATCCAGCAAACAAATTTCATCTCCACTGGAGCAGTTAACTTGTGTAATACTTGGAGATAGTGTGGAGATCAGTGTAACTCAGAAGTTTTCTGATGGCTCTGATTTTAGCATGGTTCTGTTTAGAATTTTTATGAATGACTTTGCTAAAGCTATAGGGAACATACATGATATTGAAATGGGTGAATATCCTAAAACAAGAGAAGGAGAGATAATATTTTGGATGACACATTCACTAAGAATATCTATCTAGTAAGTAGCTAGTTTTTATTTATTTAAAATAATTATTTATAAAATAAAGAAAAGGATAATTTCTGCCCTATATCCTTTTCCAGGGACATTTTTATCAATATATATAGTTCTTGGGTATCATAAAAAAACTACTGGAAAGTCTTTAGCTCTTAAACTCAACTTTTGCATACTTTTTCTCCTTATCAGGAGAAATCTTTAGCTCTTAAATTCAACTTTTGCATAATTTTTTTTTTATCACATTGTACTCTCATACTGCATGTTACTCTGAGTACATTTTTAGTTAAAAATTGTTTTTTTATTATATAAGTAATAACTGTTCATGGACAAAAAGATTAATATTTTAGCATATCATATCAAATCTCTTTATATCCTTGAATACCATTTTTCTCCCCAAAACATGAGATAATACCATGTACATTGTTGTTTTTTTTAATCTGATTTTTTGGTTAATAAAATATTTTGAGTAATTTTCTACTAGTATAAGTTATTCATTATATTTATATTTGTGTTTTGTTGAAACAGTGAATTTGTGCTCCATCTGGATACTTTATATGGATTGAGTTGTGATTTAGGATTCCATAGAAGTTTAAAAATACAAATACGCTGCATTGTTAAAAAATCTGTTTTTATTGTGGTAAAATATATATAATAAGAATTTCGATTTTAATAATTTTCACGTTTACAACCCAGTGGCATTAATTACATTTAGTGTACAACCATCAGTCTGTTCTTAAAATATTTCATCACCCCGGGCAGTAACTCTGTATACATTAAGTGATAAATTCTCCACTTCCCTTTCTACCCAGTCCCTAATAATCTCTTGTCTATTTTTTGCTCCAATTTTTCCTATTCTGGATACTTCATGTAAGTGAAATCATATAATATTTGTACTTTTATGTCTGGTTAACTCACTTAGCATAATACTTTCAAGGTTCATTCATGCTGTAGCATGTAGCAAAACTTTTAATAGCTAATAATATTCCACTTTAGGGATATATTGGTCTTTTGTTGGAGAGGAGTTGTTGCCACCTTTTGGATATTGTGAATAATGCTGCTATGAATATTTGCAAACAAATATTGCTTTGAGTCCCTGTTGTCAGTTCTTTTGGGTATATGCCTATGAGTGGCATTGCTGGGTCATATGGTAATTCTATATTTAATTTTTTGAGGAACTTACATGAGTTTTTTTAAAATAAGAAATAATTTATTAGGTGTAATTTGCATTAAGATACTATTTTATGCACCATGCAGAAATATGACCCATGTAAAGCCTAGATGTGTTTAATATACAAATAGTTTGTTTTCTTTAGTGCCTGCAGGAGTGCCTTGTAAGTTATAAATAGAGGTTCAGAGAAATATTGTGGAATAAATTGATGTGTAACTGTCGATTTGTGTTGCAAATGTCGAGGTAGATGATAACAAAAATATACTATTTTTTTTCTAAGTATTGCTTTGTAAAAAAGCAATATTAAATGAACCATTTTTTAAACTATTAAACTGGGCGGAAAAAAACACTATTAAATTGTAACCCGGTGTATCAATAACTATCTGAAACAGCCCAGCCAGTATGGCTGATGGTTGAGCATTGATTCATGAACCGAGGTCGCAGCTCAATTCCCAGCAGGACACATGCTCAGGTGTGTCCTGTGGGCTTGATTTTTGTTTTTTAGGGGAGTATTTAATACTAACCTCTGCCATCCCTCCAAATCCCCAAGCAATACTTTGTAGAAAATGAACAATAAATCAATGTATATTTCTTGGGATTCTCCCTGGAACATGCTGCATGGAGTTGCCCCCAGCATAAACAGGCCACATGGTCATCAGCACCTAAAATTTGGAAAAGGTGCCTGTGCTTGAAACTCGGGGTGCATCCTTAAACCTTCCTGTCTTGATGTATTTATCATTCCTCTCCAGTGGGTGGTCACCGAGGCTTCTGGTGCATCTGTGTCAGGAGCTCTGGAGGACGACAGCTTATTTCCTTGAAAAGTATCCTAAGACCTCCCTTCCTATAAATTTGGTTGTCAGACATTTCCATATGCACAGCCCAAATTTGGTGATACAGTAATATTCAGACATTCACATTTTTTTTAATTTTTTTATTTTTTTTTAAATCAATCTTTATTGTTCATATTATTACAAAGGTTCTTCATTTCTTCCCCCCTCCACCAGGTTCCCACCCCACCCTCCACCCCCTCCCCATCCTCCCCCATTGTCCTCATCCATAGGTGCACAGTTTATGTTCACAGACATTCAAATTTTAATAGTAGTATAATTTTATTGATTTCAGAGAGAAAGGGAGAGATAGAAACATCAGTGAATAGAGAGAATCATTGATCTGTTGCCTCCTGCATGCCCAGCCTGGGGATCAAGCCCACAACCTGAGCATGTGTCCTGCTGGGAATTGAGCCGCGACCTTCTGGTTCGTGAATCAGTGCTCAACCATAGCCATACTGGCTGGGCTGTTTCAGATAGTTATTGATACACCGGGTTACAATTTAATAGTGTCTTCCCCCCCCCCCCCCAGTTTAATAGTTTAAAAAATGGTCCATTTAATATTTTGAACACACTGGAAAGAAAGCACCTGTAAAGTCTGAGAGCATGTAAGAGTCAAGTTTGCATGTGCCTCTATGTGCATGTTGTAATCACATAATAAGGATGGAGAAGGAGTAAAGACATTATATTTAGTTTTTTTTTAAGGGTTTAAAAGATGTTTTCCATATATTTTCTTTACTTATATTCTAATTTTTCTATCTCGATATCTGACAATATATTTGCACGATGCAGCCTAGATATTTTTTACATTTAACACACCAGCAGAATCCGCTTAATACTATGGTATTTACTGACATCTTTAATAGCCATTGTTTTACTGGCAGTAACACCTCAAGGAGTTGACCAGAGCCTTTATGTTGATCTAATTCTACTTTGTAATTCTACGTTTCCTGTGCTTTTTTAAATTTAATTTATTTTTTTATGGACTATTACAACAATGAGGGTCAATTTTGCTTACTGAAATTAGAATTCTATAATGTGAAGATTTGTTAAATGTTTAACAGCCATTTAAGAATCTGATTGATCTTCCCCTCTTCCTTCAGCTCGCAGCTGTGTGTGACGTGTTTGTAGAGAACTATGTCCCTGGCAAACTGTCTGCAATGGGCCTGGGATACGAAGAGATAGACAGAATCGCTCCTCACATCGTCTATTGTTCCATCACAGGTATCTCAGTACCACACACTCGCCAGCGAATAGCTTTTCCAGTTTCTGCAAGAAACCTCTTACTAATGTTAGTTTTTTTGATGCGATTCTGCTCTTCTTCCCCTCCTAAGACATTTTAGGTTTCTGAAAATTTCAGTAACCTTTAAAAACATTAACTTACATGAAATTTTTTTCATGTATTTATTGGCAATTTAAATTTCTGTGAATTGTCTGTCTATAATTTTTGCTATTTTTTTTATTTTGCAGACATTTTCTAAGTACTGTTAACTCATATAGAATTACAGTTGACACTGGTTTGGTGATGATGAACTACTTTAGCTTTTTCTTATCTATATATTAATATGAGATCAGGATTAAAAAATGTTTTTATTGATTTTAGAGTGAGAGGAAGGGAGAAGGAAGAGAGAAACATTGATGTGCGAGAGAAACATCAATTGGCTGCCTCCAGCACATTCCGTACTGGGGATCAAGCCTGTAACCCTGGCATTGGCCCTAACCAGGAATCCAACCTGTGACCTTTAGGCTCATAGGATGAAGCACAACCAACTGAGCCACTTGACTGGGCAGAATTTTTTTCTTAAAATATTGCAGTCTAGTGGAAATGTGAGGTCTAAAATATTAAAATAGATAAAATATTATCTTTTGAATTGCCCCATTACCATAAATATATTGCATATGTGAAAAATGTAAAATCTTATCCTATCTAATAAAGAGGGAATATGCTAATTGGCCATCACACCCTCACAAAGATGGTGGCACCCACAGCCAATAAGGAGGAAATATGCTAATTGACTGCCATGCTCTCAAAGATGGCGGCACCCACAGCCACAAGATGCAGGCACTCAGTCTTTTTAGCTTTGCTGGGCTGCCTGCTCTGGAGTCCCCCAGTCCCTTTAGGCCCCTAGCCACCCAGGGCCAGCCTGAGGTGCAAACAAGCCTTGGATGGTGGTTTCCCAGCTGCCAAGGGCCACCTGAGGCTCAGATAACCAGGGCCGGCAGAAGCTTGTGATGCCAGCAGTGGCAGCAGCAGAAGTGTGATGGGGGCATTGCCTTCCCCTGATTGCCAGGTCACCTCCTACCCCTGAGGATTCCTGGACTGTGAGAGGGAGCAGGCTGGGCTGAGGGACCCCCCTCCAGTGCATGAATTTTCATGTACTGGGCCTCTAGTATGACAATAATAATTTATCTCTCATTCTTATGAATGTGGGCCAACTGGGATTCAGCTGGTAAACTGATTTGAGTTGGCTCCATAATGTAGTTTGGGACCTGGTTTGCTCTACATGCCTCTTATACTCCTTGGTCCAGTGGCTACCAAATGCATGTTCTATTCCTAGTGAAAGGCTGGAGTGCAAAGAGAACAAGCTTCATCTCACAAGCAAGAGTATAGCCTCTCCTCATGTAACATCTGCTAAGGTTCCTTTGGTCATGGAAAATCACATGACCAAGCCCAACATCAATGGCAGAAACTACAAAGCCACATGACAAGGGGGTGGATTCTGAAGAGGTGAAGACTGGGGGTGACAAAGCATTTTATCACAGCGCCTAGCCCCGTGGTCAGCAAACTGTGGCTTGTGAGCCATATGTGGCTATTTGACCCCTTGGATGTGGCTCTTCCACAAAATACCACGGCCTGGGCGAGTCTATTTTGAAGAAGTGACCTTAGAAGAAGTTTAAGTTTAAAAAATTGGGCTCTGAAAAGAAATTTCAGTCATTGTACTTTTGGTATTTGGTTTTGTTGACTAATGAGCTTGCTGACCACTGGCCTAGCCAAATAAAATGCTAATCTATTTGGGAAGCCTCACACTTGTCAAAATTCTACATCTATAACTAACTGTGGTTAGAGTCAGAAGTTCTTCTGGGCCACGACTTATGCCTGGAGACTCTCTAAGTTTTCTTACCATTCTCAGATCCTGTATTAACATTTTAGTGCGGCAAAGGACCTTGGATATAGATAATATAATTCAGGAGTTTTCAGCTTAGAGGAAACTGGGGGTATCATATGTTTTTAAGTAATAGGAATGGGGTAATAAGGAGGTGATGGGGAGAAGGCATGCGTAGACTGAAAAAATACCTCATAATTCTGTAATTCCCTACATGCACATCTAACAGTCATTAGAAGAACACCCATATGGTACTGTCTCCTTTATTTCCTGATAAAGAAACAGATCCAGAGCAGCTAAGGTACCTGAGTTCCCACAGCTCTTTAATGGCAGATGGGTTTAAAAGGCAGGCTTCTTGACTAATTTAAGTGTCTCTATGCTTTTCATAGTTAGGCATATATATCATTGTTAAGTGATGACATGGGTTTTGTGATTACAAGACACTGAACAGCTGTAGTTGAGAATGATATATTTTTGCTATTCTCTTTCATTGGTCGTTGGTCATATTTGCGATGGAAGAAATCATGAAAAAATGTGCTCATCGGGGAGTCTACATTTCAACAGAATCTTTTAGAACCAAAGGTCATTTATGAGTCATGAGTTTGTGTGTGTGTATATAAAGCAAGGGCCATCTCTCTTTAAAAGTTAGATATGCTTGGTAATCAGTGTTTGTTTTTTATTTTTTTAGCAAGACTGATTAGATCAGTCTCAAGTTGCACATGTTATGATTGAGATCCTAGACTTTCCTGATGTATCCCAATGGTATTGCTGTCTTGTCAGTGCTCAAACAGTCTGTTCTCACTCCCATGTTGGCCTTAGTGCTTATGTGAGCAATCCTAGAATGGATGGGAGGTTTACACTAATGCATCCTGACTGTTGTGTGGTTGAGATCGCCCCGGGCTGTGAAATCTGGTCTGCAGGACAGAAATGCTAGACTGATCACAAGAGAGGAAGGACCCGATTATTTTTACTAGCATGATCCTTCTGTCATTTCAGAGGAAGCGGAGTATGGACATTAGGGGGCAGTGTTTAAAAAGTTATAATCCACTAAGAATTTCATTTTGAGAGACCTTTATGATTTTCTTCATGCCCCTGGATAGAGAGAATATCTGAAAGGACCTATTTATACTTTTTTAAAAAGCCACCATTCTGTACCTCTCTATACTTTCAGAATTCTATCGATATTTTCCTTAACAATTTAAAGTTGTACCTTCTTTCCTTTGTCTACTCTGAGCATGTTATTAGTTATAACAATTTATCAGTATGAATTTCGTACACCACATTTAAAATATTTTCTTTCTTCTCATTTACTTCATTATTCTTTCTTTCCAGAAGGACAAACATTGCATTATATATATATATATATATATATATATATATATATATATATATATATATATATATTTAAAATATATTTTATTGATTTTGTACAGAGAGGAAGGGGGAGAGATAGAGAGTCAGAAACATCAATGAGAGAGAGTCATCGATCAGCTGCCTCCTGCACACCCCCCACTGGGGATATGCCCGCAACCAAGGTACATGCCCTTGACCGGAATCGAACCCGGGACCCTTCAGTCCCCAAGCCGACGCTTTATCCATTGAGCCAAACCGGTTTCGGCCGCATTATATTTTTGACTGGACTAATTTTGTGGTAGGAACAGTACATATGCCCTTTAATTACACCCCCCCCCTTTTTTTTTTTTTTTAAGGAAAGAAGTTTGGAAAGTGCCTTTTTGTTTTTTGTGAATTTCCCAGTGGCATTTCCTTAACCTCTATCCTTGTATGGACAGATTGCAGGGTTCTCCGCGGGCCACAGGAGGACCTTTCAGTGAAATGGAAGTGAGTTAATGGGTACCAACAAGCCTGGATGTCATTGGGGTAGGTGCAGTCCTTCACTGGAGCCTTCTGTGTGACTGAAGCTCTGAGATGGCTCTTTGTCTTATAGGGAGCTTTGAAGGATCCTCAGAGACCTCAGACTGAAGTTTCCCCCCTTCAGGCTGTGTGTGTGTGTGTGTGTGTGTGTGTGTGTGTGTGTGTGTGTGTATGTTTTCCTTATAAAGAGTCTATCTGTTCAGGTCACCTTATCCTATAAGCAGCCCTCCTGGGTAAAACTCCCTTTAAATGAACTAGTTCTGCTCTCCTGCTAGTCTGCTTGGCCCACAGGGAAAACTTCCCTTCCTCTTCTTCACCACTGGAGGAAGTGCAGTTCACTCCCAGGGCTGTTAGTTCTGCAGCCTTTAACTGATGTAGCCATAGTCTCTTGCGTTTGACATAATTTTAAGCACATGTCAGGTTTTTGGTAATTTCAAAATCTCAGAACACAGGCTAAGATTTCAGATACTTTTAATCTCTCATGTGGCTTGAAGTAAAGGGGAGGCGGTTTGCTCCTTCCCTACGACAGAGTGAAATGACAATTCTTCCTAAGGAAATCCTTACTAAAAGTCTTACCTTTCTCCCTTTTCTTGTGTACTCACAAACGCATGATAAACTAAAGAGAGCAGATTTCATAGCATGACCTGCATTGTGTTCTTGCACTTAGGAATTTTGTGTTTGAAGCCTCAGCTGAAATTTATTTTGTTGAAGAAATATGTTTTTCAGGTGGTAGAGTAAACCTGACATATCTGTCTTCAAAGCTTTTAGAATGAAGATATAATATTTCCTAAGATAAAAGCGTTTTGACTCATTTCCTATACATTGTCAGTTATTTAAACAAATGAAAAGGTCAAGCTTCTCCAGATACAGAATTCTAAATAAATATATTTTTCCAATAGCAAACACCACGTTGAAGCCAATCCTGTCTTGTTCCTGGGATAAGGAACATTATTAAAGTTTTCTTTGGAAACTCCTTATGAAACCATAGGATTAAGAACATAGACAAATCTACTGGATTAGAACATAGACAAAATGTGTCCCCAAAATGATGCAGTGGGTACCGTCTCATGACATTTTATTCATATGAATGTATGTTTGAACTATTCAAGTTCCAAGATACTTTGATTTTTCTTGATTGTCCAATAAAAGAGAAATCCAAGACTTAGTAATTGTTCAATAAAAGAGAAATCCAAGACTTGAAAGGAGTTTGATTTGTTTCTTCAATGCTTTCAAATTCCAGAAGCAAGA